ACACGTCCCAAAATGGAGGAAATCTGGTTTTCTGCCAATTGTTCCAGGCGTATGTCAAAACCTCTTCATTTCATCTCATACCAGAACAGATAAGCTTATACTTTGGCTAGAAGCCTCAATTCCCATCTTCCGCTCTTAACAGTCCATCAGAATTAAATACAAATTCATAAATCTTTTCCACACAGTTAATAATTATATCAAATTTATATCAATATTATAGAATAGTACAGTCTCGCTTGCATCCATATAGGTATTCAGACTTTCCAGGGGGATTTGCCAAGTGAAACAGCAAATGTGCAATATATCAAAAAGGGAAAAAAGGAGGCTCCCCCCACCTTTCCAATCTGACATACCCATTCCATAGTAAAGATAGTCCCTTTTCCACTCGAATCCTTTAGCTCCTCAGTGGCTGAATCGGTTGGCAGAGTAGTTTATCTCCCCTCACTCAGAGCATGCCCGATAATTAAGTCCGAATTAGCATCTTAAAAAATAGGAGTTCGTTCACTCATGGCGGTGACTTTGGAGAGTTGTTTCCCACACAGCACACCATTCCACCTCATTCCTACTGGATTGGGGACAGGTGTTGGGTGATCTGTGGGTGAAGCTGCCCTCCCCCCGGCCCTGGGGGGGGGGGGTTGGGAGGATGATTACTCCCATCTCATCCTCAAAATATCCCATGCAAAACAGTTCAGATGTAATCAACAGCCTCCGCCATGGCAAGCCAAACTGGAAGTGCAGCATAGGTGGTATATTGGGGTAAATCAGCATGTTAGCTTTTGTCTTTATCATACCTATTGCTGGGGTCCAGATTGCTACTTAATACTCAAGACTTTAGCTAAAGCAGCAGCATTTTGTCCTTTTGCTAAAACAGCAGAGGACCCCATGCCATATTGCAACTTACCTTTGAAAGCCCTCTCAGTCTCAAAAGGAGGAGATGTTGACATAGGTACAGCCTGAATAAAGACACTGGGACTTGAGGACCACTGAAATATTTATAACCAGATGATAAATTCTGGAAGCAGAAACATCTATTTTGAGTAGTTCCTTTAATAACAAATCGTATAATTTTTGACTTCTAGAAGCTTGCTTCTTTATGAATTTTTAAGGAACCATGATGTGCATACTATTACAACACAAATGGTAAATTTTCATAATGCTTGTGTTTCGATTCACATATTGTTTTGGGAAGTGTAAATTATGTTACTAAATTTCTCCTTATTCATAACCTATGGGACTTAATTAACTTCTGAATATAGGATTGTCAAGTTAGATGGTTAACCAACTGGAATATTAGAGGACTATTAATGATGACAGCTCTCTTACAATATTTATATATTGCTACACTGAAAACCAGTGCGCCAGTAGTACAGACTCTGCCACCTAACTTTGCAAGTCTAGAAGGATCTAATTCATAATGTATTTATTTATAATCTACCCAAGAAAGAAAGGCAGAACCACCAACAGTGTCATTTGATTACTGTTACTTGCTTATAATGGCCAAGTGGTATATTTACATTATAATCTACAAATCATTAGTGGGTAAGTAAGTCAATAGGTCTGTGTGTGGAGAAAATTAATTGTACACTCTAGGTACAATGTGTGTCAGGGTAAATATACAGAAACTGAAATTTGTATAAACTTTAAAACACATCTCACGTAAATTCTTTTCTTTTTAAACCTTCATAAAACATGTGGTTTAGCTCTTTAAAATAATTAAGTGCTCATCCTGAATTATGTCTAAAGCAAGATAGCTCATCAGGGAAAATGTGGATTGTTGTCTATTTTCATAACCCATGGTTATAATGATTATAGGTCAAAACCTGCTTGAGATTTTAAGTCATTAGTATATTTTTGTTAAAAAATTATAATTTAGATATGCAAATTGTAGTAATTGCTGTTGCTTCTTATAAGTAGCCTCATAATCATCCAGCCTTCCTACTGAGGTCAAGGTTTTTTATTTTAAAGCAATAAGCTTCAAACATTTCAGTAGGGCAACTCATTTTCATAAAATTACAAATGAAATTTATGTTGTTCACATGCAATATCTTCCAAACATAAGCACTGCTATTTCACTAATTGCCAGAGGAAACAATGGTATTGGGAGAGATTTCTGTTTCCATGTGCCAGTGATAACAAGTTACTAACACACTTTGCTCTCAAACTCACTGCCTGTCCTCTTTCTTATCTGCTTTTTAAAAACTCTGTTTTGTGGGGTGGGTGGATACCTTGATGTTGTTTGCAATTGTTCTTCCATTGACCTTCTTTGTAATTCAATGATATTATTTTAGTATGCCTTTTATAGGCTGGAGATGTGAACAGGATCCGTGGGAGTTTACCATGTACATATTGCATAAGAATAATAATCATGTTTTAAAATGTCTGCAGAAGCCTGAGCTGGATCTCCATTTTAAAAAACTGCTTAAATTGGGTTTTAGAGCCAAGTTTTATCAGAACAAAAAAGGAAAGGTTGGGTGAAATTTACAGCATAACAAAACCAAAACTGAGAATATATGTGCTCAGTTTTTATTCCTATATTATTCCAATATTCAGCTCTTGTTCTATCCTGAACTATCACACTGTAGGTGGGAGCAATACTAGTCTAAATATATAAAGTAGTAGAGATAATTCCGCACCTCTTTACCCTTGTGGAGTCTACAATGGTAAAGAACACACTCCTATTCACACAACCACTTCTGTCTACCTGAGGATAGGGATGGGTAAAGCTATTTCTTTACTTAGCTGGAAATTTGCATTACAAAATTTGAAGAAGTATGATTTTTGAAAGATGATGTTTTGGTTTGCATATTGTTTCAGAAAGTGTGAATTGGGTAGGTTTGCCTTTCAGTGTGAACTGAAATAATCTTTCCCCGCGTCCCTACCTGAGAAAATGGGTACCTTTGCACTTCTGCCCATCTTGCATGTATTGTGGCCCTTGCACCAAACTGAAACAAAACCCTTTAAATGCCTTTTCCCATTACCCTCTCCCAATGCATTGTTCTGAGAATGACACAGACAGGGTTATGATGACTGGGAAGCAACAAGCAGGTCCAAAGAAGCTATTCTTTCTCTTTCCAAGCTCTGAGCAGGGTCACTTTGCTACTCTGCCCATTTAGAGATGCTTAGATGTTAAATGTGATGTTAGCAACTATTAAGTCCCCACTGGAGACTTTCTGTTTTAGAATATGAAGTGGTCAAGAAATGGGATGTTCCTTATTGAGGGTCCTGGTTGTGCGTGGGCCCCTAGGACACCCACACAGGGTTTATTATTTAGGGGTGTAGCCCAAGCCTTAGCTTTTGGCCCCAAGATCACACCAGGCTGTTTGTGCCAATCATGTGAGGTGGCGTGATTCCCGGGGTCTATAAAGGCGGCAGCGCAATGTAATTTGGGGTACTTGCTTTGCGCTGTCGGAAACCCGCCCTTTCTCCCTAACCTTAGGCATTGCTGCTTTGGCCTTGCTTTGTATTGGGTCACCTGTTTTGGATCAGGGGCTAGGTAGGAATTTTTCCCTTTGGCAGATTGGCTATAGCCACTTGGTTTTCGCCTACCCCCTCAGCAATCGTCATAACTTTGTAAGATTTAGCTGTTAGGCATTGGCTTATTGAAATGTGGGGGAGGGGAGGTATGGTCATCACCTGCCCCTCCAGGAATAGGGTATTCCGGTAAAGGAATCTGGGGGTCCTGGATCTCGTCCGAAGTCCGCTTGAGGGTCTAGAGCCATGCCAGGACCACAGGAACCCAGGGGTGGGCTTTGGTTGGTCTTCATTGATATTGCTCCCTATTTTGGTGTTTCCCCTTTCAGACTACCAGCTGGAGAGGCAGGGAGTCAGTTATAGTCTGTTGTCAATGCCTAAGCCAATACCGCTCACTTTGCTGTAATCAATAAAGTTGTGGCCTAAAATTTGCCCAATAATTTAAACTAAAATATGTGTCCATGTGAAGTTATTTACAGTCTTGGGGGTCTCGAAGCACAAATGAGTCTGGGAATGCACAAGCTAAACTGTTCCTTATTTCATTTATCATGCCCCATGTTTTTGGATGGCTCCCCTTCTCTTGCTAGAAGAGAATGGGGAAGTAAGGAGAGTTTACCCTGCCTTGCCAAATGCATAGCAAATAAAATAGTATCTTGGAGATTAAGTGGAAAAGGAGAACAAAGTTAACTTGCTTTAATCAACTTGGAGGGGGGGTCTTATTTATTTACACTTTGCCAAGCCCTCTTAATTGCTAAACTCTATCCATGTATAACTTACACGGGACTTGCCTCTAAATAAACATGAATAGGCTTGCACACTAAGTTTCTGTGACTGAAAAAAGAGCTTCTTCAATGTCTCTGCTATCAGCATCATATGCAATCATAGAAAAACACTCTTGATTAGTTCTTCACATAACCTCCTCATTTATAGTCATTTAAAATAATGGACCCTGAGTGGGTGGGGGGTTTTTTTTTGGGGGGGGGGTTGTAACATCATACTGTAAAGCACTTATTCTCAGCATCTGTAGTTATGTAGAAAACCTTTCTCACATTGAAGAAGAAGCTGATTTTTGAGCCAAAATGAATGGAGTCCAAAGTGCAACTTGATTGTATGAATATAGAATATTAACTTAATAGGGAGACAGATATATTCCTTAAGAAAAATCTAAGATATATTCCTTTAAAAAAATTCTAGAGAGGGAGGCATCAGTACCTGTGAAGTCCCTCTGTCCCCACTGCCCACGCTGGCCTCAGTGCAGATTTCTGAGCTGGATGTGGTACAGAGCAGGGCAGCAGCAAGGTTGAGCTGCACAGATTTACTAGTGACTGTACCACACTGTGAATCTATGGAGCCCTGCCCTCATCCTGCCCAGCCTCAGCCCCTTTCAGTTAAGCTATAGTGATGGCAGCATCCCATCATGCCAGCTACCACTAGAGAGAGGAGAAGAGAAAGGGAAATGAGGATTAGTGAGGGACCCTGATGTTTCTGAAAACTGTTTTCGAGAACAAGTTTAAATGCCAGTATTAGTGAGTTAATGTGTGTGTGTGTGTGTGTGTGCGCGCGCGCACACACACACACACACACACACACACACACATAAAACACAGAACTCTTGAGCTGTTTCTTACTATTGATTTCTAGGAACTGAACACTTTTCATAGAAGAGCTCCATCTGACTTGAAAGACATCTTACATGCTGTTTGGAAGCCCAAGCAGGTCTGTTTCAACTGTGAGGTTTGTGCTTTAGTGATAATGGAAGAAGTAGCTGTGTGTTCTGCTGGAAGTTAAATTAGTCCAAAAGATCAAACTATGCATCAAACTTCTTCCAAAGCACACACATGGTACCAACTAGTCAATGTATTTTTATCTCTCCCTCCCTCCCTCCCTCCCTCTCTCTCTCTCTCTCTCTCTCTCTCTCTCTCTCTCTCCCTCCCTCTCTCTCTCTCTCTCTCTCTCACACACACACACACATACAGGGATGGAGCAAGACTCTTCTACGGTACATTCCTGAAACCAGTAAAGGGTTAGAATTTAACCAAGCCCCTGGATCCCCAGATGCATCAGTGATGTCCAAGTCATTAAGCAAACAAAGGCAAAGATATGTAAGTCATTCTTACCAAGCAAACAAAACAAAACAAACAAACAAACAAAAAACCCTACATAATTTTTATTCCATCATAGGTGAACCTGTTTTTCATATTATTTCAGAGCCACAATTCAGCAATATAAATTTACAGATAACTTTTTTGCAAACACATGATCTCATGCAAGTTTGTCAGTTTAAATCAGCCTGAGTGCTGATGTTGGTTTTATTTGCTCAAATATTTTCCAAGTAGGCTTTTACAACCTGAAAGTACTATGTTATTGTCTACAAGGGTGATACAACTTTAGGAAGATTTATCAATAAAATATTTATTAAAATAAAAAGTAAGAGACATAACATAAAAAATAACATTTGGTCACAAACCAGCTCTGTTCACTCGCATTGGATCCCCCCCCCCATTCCTTGAGTAACAAGTATCAGTTACTTAAACAATCTAGGACACTAGAAGCAAAATAGTATGAGGCAAGCTCAACGTTTATTCTTACATTAGCTCATCCAAAACTTTCTTCTTCAGATATTGAGAATTTCTATCTGATTCTTTCCTTACAGGCTTCATTAACTTAATCAACTCAGGGTAATTTATATCCATGCCAAATTATCATTTATTCTGTAACCGTCATTTATCTTAATGGCACCATTACCTCACTTTTAATCCCCACATTAGCTCTTTTAATAACGTTAAACAGAATCAGAATTCTGAATCTGAATGTGACATTCTTTAAAAGACCTTCAGGCACCATGGATATATATATATTTTTTCCTTTTATTGATCAGTCAACTTCTGCTCTTCTATTTATTTGAAGTGGGAAATTAGGATAAGTCCCCAAACAGCTAGATTTTAATTTAGAGAGTGTGGTGTGACATAACTGTATTTGGAGAGCATTATGCTTGCATTTATTTGTTGTTTTTTTTCTTGACAGAGATTTTCCCTTTCACTCAAAGCTAAACTCAACTTTACATGTCATTTTTAAGAAAGAACTAGTAAAGGTACCTGGACCTTGTAATTACACATTGCTGGATGTAAATAAGCAAACAAATACTGTTCATCCACAAATCACTCCCATTGTGACCTATACTATTTGGGCTACAAAGGCACCTACCACATTTATGCCTGTTGAAAACCCAGTGTTCTGAATAGCTTTACCTGGCTGTGCGCCAAGGATCAATGCATGCCCTGTTCTTTGACCTTTCCAGCCAATCAGCCACAATGTCTTGTGGGAGTCTGGCACTTGCCACCATCCCTGGTCTCATTAACCTTGAGCGGGTGAGTCAAGTAGTTCTCATATGTGTTCTGGCACCAGACTCCGAACTCAAAAATTTCACAGAGAGGCTGATCTATGGAATCAAGCTTTGACACTCTACTGCAATCCCCACAGATTGGTAATATTCAGTCACATCAAGGTTGCTTTTTTTTGTTTTGTGCCTGTAGTGGTGTAGGGTGTTAGAGGAATAGTAGTAATGTTTCTGGAGTAGTTTGTTCACCTTTTGTCCCCACCCTGCACTCAGATCTCACCTGTGACTCCTAGAAGCTGTACGTGTGTGACAGTGGCCACACCCCGGAAAACAGCTTTGACTGGCCAGCCAAACCAAGTGAGGGTAGCTGATGGGTCTCAAACCCTTGGTGAGTTAGGGAGTTCACATGTTAATACAAGGTCTGGCAGGTTGACACCAATAGTGGGTCCAATGGTCAAGAAGGCAGTTTGTGCACATGTTGTAGAGGAAAGTGAGGGTCAGGTGGCACTCTTCAACTTGGGAAGGTAGTCCATCAAGGAGAAGGAAAACTCTCATCCTAAACCAACACTGCTTTGCAGGATATCTTCATGAGAAGAAAAGGCTAAAGAGAAAACCCTACACAAATACAGAGTGGAGTTCCTAATATGGTTGGATGGCACCTTGCATGCCTCCCTCCAGCAACTCTGGCAGCCAAGCTGATGCCAGACAGATAGCTTCCACTTTCCTATGAACCACATCAGTGAGGCCGAGAGGAGGGGTCTTGTTGTCTGGGGAGCCCACCTGCTAATGCAGCAGTTTGACTTCACCTCCGGAGATGCACTCAATTCTCTTTCGAGAAGATGACAGCCAATGATCAATGAATGTGTGTTATTTTATCAGTTAGGGCATGTGCATTAGTATTAATAGAATCATAGGATTGGACATGAGGTCCTGGGCTCCCAAATGCTAGAGCCCAAACAAGCAGCAAGTATGGGAATTTGATGCAAAATTACAGTATTCCAGCTGAAAGTGCATTGTAGAGGTATATGGCATTTGGCTTGGGTCTCATGTTGCCAGGTTATTTTGGAATGTTTCTTTGTTCTACCTATGAACTGCTTTCACCTTCTAAGCTATGTACATATCACCAGACATTACCCAAGCTCTTTTCACAATCCTGTGATTCAAAGTAGCAAAGACTGGGTCCAATCAATGTGCACTTTTAATTTCTGGAAATAAAACAATATCTAGCAATGTTCTGTGCTGAGTGTGACACTTTCAATTTAAGTCGGACACGGATGAATTATAATGAATAATGAAAATACAAGAATTGTTCCAATTGACTTTTTTTGTTTTGTTTTTGAAGAACCCAGAAAATGTGCCTTGAGTCAATTGACTTACAGGTATTAAATGGCTATAAATTACATTAAGTAATGTTAAGAGTCTGAGTTAATTCTACATAAGCAAGGAAATCCAATTAGGCTGAAACTATGTCCTTTCTGCAGCTCATCCTGTTGTCACTATGTATTGGAAATTATATTATTCTTCATCCAAAGGCTTGCAAATGGTTCAACTTATGACTTAAGGGAGGATTGAGACAACTAGATTTTTTCCTTCGTGCTAATTTTTTCATCTGCCAAAGCACTATTCAGGAATCATTATGTGTTTAAACAACTCTTCGGGAGGGAACCACAGGGGTGTGCATGCTGTCCCCATCCCAATATCCCCATCTGATCCCAGACCCTCCAAGTGTCTCTATTTTCCAGTGATGTCCCTGATTTAGAGAAGCCATCCCGGTTTCTGATTTGATCCTGGAATGTCCCGCTTTTCCTGAGGTGTTCCTATTTTCATTGCAGAAATGGTGGAGGGTATGGAGTTATCCAACCCCCAAGCTGTCTGAAGGTAATCCTGTATAGGGAAGGTTTTTAAAAAAATGTTTAATGTTTTATTATGTTTTTATATATGTTGGAAGCCGCCCAGAGTGCTGGGGCAATCCAGTAAGATGTGTGGGGTATAAATAGTAAAATTATCATTGTGGAATGGGGCATCCCTATTTTCATTGGAGAAATGTTGGAGGGTATGCGCTCCTCAGCTCCTCTGTTATCATGATTCCCTATCATAAGGCGGCTTCCAAGCATATTCAGTTGAAAACACTAAAGCCCCATCTGCACTATACATTTACAGCAGCATCATACCACTTGAAGATTCCTGGGCACTGTACCTTTTTCAGGGAGCAGAGAGTTTTGATAGCAACCATGGGTAAAACTGTGTACTGATTCCCATGAGTCCAAGACCTGGAAAATCTATTCCCACAGGAATGCATTGACCTAAGAATTCTCAGTTGCACCGACATGTTACCTGCATCAGTTAGGCATACTTTTAGTAACCAAGCTGGTAAAGCATGAGTGGGAAAATGTTTTCTATGTTGGGCCCTGGTCTATGTGAAAAGTTGATCAGGGTTGGAACTAATGGTGGACAGAGCCAGAGGCCAGGGCCTCAGGGCCTCAGAGTATCCTCTGTTGATACCTGCCCTTGCTCCCCTCTAAAAATAGATTTATGGATTGGTGCTCTGAGCAGTGCTAGGCAGCTGTGTCTAGGCACCATTTTAATTTCCCACAATGGATCTAATATGGCATCATTTCAAGGCACTGTGGTAAATTCACACGGCAGCTAGACCCAGCTGTTCAATGACCAAGTGGCTTTTTATTCAGAGCCCCCTGAAACCTTAAGGTAGCCTTGCTATCCAGGGTTACTATACCAAATGTTTCTATGCACATTATCAGTTCCATGTGAGAACAGCTATTTCTGTGCTGGGGCCAAAGAGTCTATCTTCATGACCTCGACTGTAAGACTATGACAAAACTTGTTAACCTTAACATTGTATTAGGAAAAGCTCGCTAGTCTGACGATATGGTTTGTTATCCATTGTGCAAAACCTCTGCAGAACTATTTTGAAGACTGATGTGAAGATATTTAGAGAAGATTAGTGTAGTTAAGGAAAAGATAGTCATTGTAGTTTGAGGCAAGGAATATCATGCCTCATTAACCTATCAGAATGCTTTGAGGGTATTTTTGCTGTACTAGGCAAAGGAAGTGGTATATATCAAGTATTGTGCATGGATTTTTCTGACAGTGGTTGATAAAGCTTCATATTGGAATCTAATGTATAAGCTGCAGAGTTATGGAATACTGTAAATGGAAAGTTGGCCTCTGGGATTAGAACTTTGCTGCAGTGCCAAAGAGAAAAAGCATAAACACAGGCTTTTAAGGTTGAAAAAAGAGAGAGAG